ACTAATAGTGACAGAAATAATTAATAATACTAGGCATCCTGCAACATAAATATTTTATTCCATCCAAGTTGAACTCAAGTGCTGTTGATTAAGAGAATCGTTGATAATCAAAGATTCACTTTTAAATATATCAAATGCAAAATAATGAAAAATGATTCCAAAAGTACTTCCAACTAATTTACTAGTCAAGTTACGTTTTAGATTTTTTAAAGATCTGATTTAGGAGTAAAAGTCAGTAAATGATGCGTGGTGCTAGTTGGTTGATTGGCTCTTGTCTGACCCTAACTTTCTACTCTAGTTATATTTTTTTTGCAATACCTGTAAAGGTTACTAAGTGATGAGCACTATGATAATTTAAATTATGCCTTGAAAACATTCTGAATTTTTAAAAGATAAACTTCGTGTGGGTTTCTTGCGCCATTTCTTCCCATAGATGTATGTTCCTTCGAGACAGTGGTAGTTTATCTTGACTTTCAATAAGTTAAATAAAATATTTAAACTTTAAACTAATAATTAGAATTTCCAGTCGGCGAAAACCCATGCTACGCCACTGCTTCTGAAATTGTAGTTCAGAAAAACTTCTTTCTTGGTGTTCCGCTTTTTTGATGTGTAGCATAATTTAATTTTTAAAGGTCAACAACTGACTTTATCAACTCACTGGAAGTATAAGAGATAACACTGTCTTATCTAAATCATTGTTTCTAGGCGATCATTGCAAGTAACGGCAAACTCACTCCCAATTACGAATACATCCAAGAATTACGAAAATCAGCAATGTGAGTACAAACTTTTCTAAATAAATTTAACAATTAAATATTAATCTCAGTAAAAGCAGGCACAAAGCAAGTAGCGAGTCTTCATCCGTCGAAAAGCAGGTTGTTATCGTGGGCGCTGGACGTGTGGCTGCACCATTAGTGGAATATCTCCATCGGGACAAATCCGTCGGTATTACCGTTGCATGTGAAAAGAAAGATTTGAGTGATAATTTAGCAAGAGCTTTCCCCGGCATTGAAAGTCTCTATCTGAACGCTGTTGAAAACCCCAACACTTTGGAGGAAATTGTAAAAAAAGCTGATGTTGCAGTATCAATCCTTCCAGCTAACTTGCACCATATTGTTGCTCAAGCATGTATTAAAGAAGGCACTCATATGGTCACAGCAAGTTACATGAGCCAAGAAATGAAGAATCTACACCAGGAAGCAGTTGATGCCGGCATCACTGTGCTTAATGAAATAGGCTTAGATCCAGGAGTTGACCATTTGCTTGCTTTGGAATGTATTCAAGAAGTGCAGCAAGCTGGGGGACGAATCACTTCGTTTGAGTCGTTCTGTGGAGGTCTTCCAGCGCCCGAATTTAGTGATAATCCGTTGAGGTACAAGTTTTCGTGGTCACCAAGAGGAGCTCTTTTAAATACCTTATCATCAGCACGATACTTGAGTAAGGGACAAATTGTTGAAATTAGTTCAGGAGGAGAGTTGATGAATACGACGAAAACGCTTGATTTTCTACCTGGATTTAATCTTGAAGGATTTCCTAACAGAGATAGCACAATTTATGCAAAATACTATGGAATTGAAGATGCTTTAACACTCTTGAGAGGCACTATTAGATATACAGGATTTGCTCAAGCTGCTAGAATGTTACAATTTTTGGGGTTGTTGGATCCAGAACCCCACCCAGCATTGCACGCACAAGGACCAGAAATTACCTGGAGGATGCTTATTTGCAACCTCCTCGGTTTGGAAGGCCACAACATCTTCTACGATAACCTCAAGAATCAAATTGTTGAACGAACGGGTTCTGAGTTTTCGGTCGATTTACTCGAAGAGCTTGGTCTGTTAAACGAAAATGGTGTAATAAAATGCGGAACTCCTCTAGATACGCTCACTCATTACCTCTCAACTAAATTAGCGTTAGGTAAGTCAGCGTCTTGTATAAACAAATAATTCATTTATACTTTTTAGAAAAACATGAACGTGATTTGGTGATTTTACGTCACGAAATCGGTATTAATTGGCCGGATAACAGAAAAGAAATAAGAGGTGTTAATTTTGTTGTTTATGGAGATGCTAATGGCTATTCAGCCATGGCTAAAACTGTGGGTTATCCAGCAGCTATTGCTACAAAGATGATTTTGGATGGTGAAATACAAGATAGAGGAATGATTCTTCCCTTTGCACCGGAAATATACAGGACAATTTTGTCAAGATTACGGTCTGAGGGCTTGAATAGTACTGAAACATCGAAATTTATTTAAACTATTATCAATAACATTTTTTATTTAATAAACCGCAACTGTGATTGGTATAACTATGAATGCAGTGTGTAAACTGAACAGGGGCAGATCTCATACTGCCACACTCTAACAGTAACAGTGTTACAAATTGAATATTAGGAATTGAATATTATTAGGAGTAAAAGTGATTGTTTACGTGCCAAACGGAGTTAGACAAATGATTCAGCTGAGCCACATAAACTCACTTTTACTCCAAATAACATATACTATTTTATCCGCAAACGACTCAGATGAAGAGAAAAGAGCAACACATTAATTATCAAGTAAATCACCAAAATAATCAGGACGCTTTGCAATAAAATCATATCAAACGTCACGCGTTAGTTTCAGAATTTGTGTTAACATTTTCGTAAGTGTTGATTTATTTAACTAGTGAATAACTAGTGTAGTTTATAGTGCAAAATGTCGAATGCTCATAATCAACACTGTACCTCTCCAGAAAATACTGAAGCACCGAAAGAGACAACATTGATAAATGTCAAGTAAAAGTAAAAAATGCTTAGGCCAAAAAACAGTATTTTTACCCCACGTCTGAAAGGTAAAACTTTTGCTTGTGTCAATTAGTCATAAAAGCGTCATTTTTCTAACGTTGCGGATAAACCGTTATTATTATAATAACAATTCTAATAAATTAAAGCAGTGGCTTAATTCGAAATAGTATACATACAGAGTGAATAAAAGTTTGCAAACACCCTTATTTTTTTTTTAAAACGGTTTGTTAGAAATGTGTAGTCTGTTTTTTTTTTCAACGAAATTATGTCAAATAATCTTAACGTTGGAACTCCTAGCAAATTTAGTCATAATAATTTTAATAATATAAACAATGTCATTAAGAATTCTCGAGTCGGTGTGTTTCGATCGCAATTCGCGTTTCAGGAGGATTTTGTAAATCCTTTGTTAGTGATTGGACCCCTTGATTTAAGCCCGTAAACCCCCTGATCCTCAAAACAGCACTCACTCTGCAAGTTCCCAGTTCCAAACAGCATGAGCAGTTATCCTTAATTCTATCCAATAACACCATAAACTTGTTAAATCTCATTAACAACCGTAAAGAAGTAGATATGAGAGGTCAAAAGTTGCTGAAAATGGCCTACGTTGACATCAAGAAAATAGGTACTCGTAGCACAAAAGCTGGTTCTGCCAGTTCTGAAAATATTCTCTCTTCAACGGGCCAATATGACCCTATTCATGACAAGGGGCTTTCCATTGTAATTATTGAACTTAAAGATAAGAATGTAGGTAATCTTTATCCACTAGTCACTGGGAAACTCCAATTTTAAAACAATATTGCAACGACAGCCATTAAAAATATGAACTTAAATATACCTACTGTGTATTCATTCATAAACTACTCTGAAAATTATTTGTCATGATATTTCGTACTTAAAAATTTTAATGTAAAGTGAAACAAAAAACGTTGTATGTAGGTAACTTGAGCATTATTGATGTCTATGGTCCTTGGGCAACTTACTAATCTCGGACCGGAAACCCTTCACCTTGCATATCTGACGCACTCGGAGATCATATTCATCGATCATCGAATAAATGCCCTTAGTACATAAATAAAAATAACTTTTAACAACTCGCTAGGACACCTACATTTCTTTCCAGAAAAATGTGAAACAATATACAACCATTTATGAAAGTAAACAATTCAACCAGACTAACGATCCTCACGGTGAATAAGTCCATGATCATGGTATAATCAGCTATGCAACCAACAATACAAGAAAACAAGCAAAATGAAATCAAATTAAAAAACTATTATTATGATTCCAACAAATAGTTAATGTTTGTTTAAATGTTAATGTTTATAAAGATACTTATAAAAAATGTATTGAGTGTTATTAGCTATTGTTATTAATAACACTAGTTGACAGGATTTTTAATATTTTTATACCTAAACTAAAAGTTATAATTCCTTATAGATAGATTTTGAGGCACTGAGTTCAAAAAAAAATATATACAAAAACACAAAAAGCGCCAAACAACAAATTTAGACCTATCTAGTGATAATTTTTCAATAATTCAACAACAATTTGGATTTAAAATAAATTTTAAATCGGAGGCATTTGTGCAGAAAGCAGGAAAATTATCGTTCGTAACAACAAACTGACGTGATAAAAAAATTTAACAATTATTTTTGTTTAATTAAAGGTATATAAACATAGAAATAATAATTTGATTAAAGGTATATTAAACAAGCCGTTTCAACGACAGTTAGCTTACAAATAATATATTGTTTGTAAGCACCTAGTGTAATCTGATGTGTTTAGCTCTATTATTTTGTAATCAATATAATAAGCTTATCTGCAAGTTTAGAACACCTTTAGATCTTTTAGAACCATTGAATGCCAGTGGTGGCAGTGGTCTTAGGTGGGATAATCTATATAATATACAGGCAGGATTATAAAAAACACCCCAAGCCATAATTGCATTATTTTTAAAGCTTTGACAATATTTCTTTAAGCAAAATTGAACAGTTTATTAATAATAATAAGTTATTGATTCAAAAAATAGATGACAGTAAACTATACAATAAATTTGTTCCAGCTTGTATAAGTAACAATAATCTCTTTTAAAAATAATATTAAGTACCTATTTAAAAAAGTTTTAATTTTTTTTTCGTCGGTAGTATTAAATGTTGTCTGAAATAAACCTAGCCATCGTATTTTATCTGTCGTTGTTTTGGATATGTATTTTTAGTTTTCCTAATGATACTTTCGTGCCAGAGTGATATTTCAATAGGCCAGGTCTGGTAAAATCAATTGTGTAGTTGTAGTGTTCTGTATGGGTAGGTGGCACATTATCAATATAAAGTGAACAAACCAGCTCCACTCTCGACCGTCTCCGTCTACCTGTTTCCATCCCATCGCAAATCTAAACAAAGAAAAAGCGTTCCTCGCCGAAAATAATCTTCGGTTGAGACCCCGAGTGAAAAGAATCTGAATAAAATCGCTTAGTTGCGGGGGCGATCCTAGTACCTGCTGCCAGGTGTCGAGTATTGAACCTCCGGTGTAGGCAGCCCACATTACACCCGACGGGCTTTGTGCAATACCCCCACTAGGTCTGGAGCGCAACCAAACTTGTCAGAATCCGGAGTTGCTACATTACAGTACCGTAATACCACTGTATTGTTTTTTTTGTCGGAGTGTGCAATCCGTGGGTTCTGAAATGGTGTCTGGTGCAGTTTGGGCCCCCCGCGACGCCGCCCCAGCTTTATAGTGTCTCAGGTGACGTCGGTGTGTGACTCTTGGACTAGCCCCTAATGGAAAACAGTTCGCATTCGTCCGCTAACCCCATTTCACAGGGGTGTGGCCCACATTCGCAGATATCTATACATGTGAGCCCCACCACAGGGGGCGACTTCTACCTCAGTGTGGAACCAGACATTAGCGTTGATAATTTCAAGAAACTCGTCTCGAAAAGACTCAAGGTGCCCAGGGACAGGATATGTCTGTTGTTTCGCGATAAGTGGGTTTCATGCACGTTTTATTTTTACAGTTACGATATATTTCGGTGATTTTGTGTTGCAGGCAATTGCAAGACGGGAGTTTGATACAACATGGCATCTCGGATGGCTCCAGAGTCACTTTACTGCCCAACGTTGAAACAGGGCTTATCGTATGTTGCAACAATTTTTTTTCTTCTTGTAGACGTACTAATAATTCATGCTGTGCATGTGCTAATTATAGATCTGAATTCCACTCTAAACCACAACTGATCAATGTTTATTTTATTATTGTTATTCATTAACTCTTTGCTTTGCATTTTAACAACAAACAGAGGTTGAGGGAAGTGATAAGGGAGCACTTTTTGTTTCTCGTTAAAATTACATAATAATTTACCTGTATGAAGGTTGATAGGGTGGGGCCCATAAAAGTACCATAACTTATCCTCAAAGGTTCTATTTTCCACCACACTGACACAAAAGTTAAAGTCAAATATTTTTGTTTTACGTAATAGATGTAAAATAAGTTTAAAAGAGTTTTCTAAAGGTGTACAGTTAATTTGGAGTTTCAAAGTTCATGGTCATATATTTAGTAAAAAAATAAAAGAAATATTTCATTGTTTACTTAACTATCATCAAAGACTTGAAATACGTTTTTGACACTTGGGGTTGTCCTAATCATGGATACATATTTACATTATGCTTCAGTATCATCACAATTAAAAACTCACAGTACTTCACTTAACAAATTTAATATTTTCTAAAGTGTTTTTTGTACCTAATGCACATGGTACACATACCAATTGCGTGTCGCAGTGTGTGGTAGTTTGTACAAAATCTAAATTTTGATTTATATGTAGTTACGAAGAAATTATAACTTTAAAGAGAAGTTTTGTGATTTGATAAGTAGGGATAAATCATGTTAGAAATTTTGCTTCATTCTATGCCAGTTTATATCAAAATCACTGACTTCGTTCAGTGTCTCAGAGCAAATGCAAATATTTGTTGGTTTCGGGTAATAATAAAAAAAAATCATCCTTGTGTGGTTTTGCTTGCTATATACTTGTATTTGCTATTGTAACTTGTAACTGAACAATACCACAACTAACAGGACAATACTCGGTGCAATATATTAATTTCAAATAAACTTGGGAGTGGAATTCATGTCTATTTTGTGTATTACCGTAATATTACGCTTTAGTGACTGTACTAATGTGCTATGTATGAAGTACTTATAATCCGGTTGGTGGTAGTTCTTTTATAGCAATAAAATTTCAAATTGTGCTAACGATTTTTATTTAGTCTTGTAATTCACTATTTAAGAAAAGTGGCGTATATTTAATAGTAATTGAAAAATACAAATTAAAGATTTTATAAAAAAATCTGCACTTTATAAACAAAAGCTAAGTAATAAGCAGGTTAGCCGTAATATGTTTATTAGGGTGGAAATATTTACTGAAAGAATTAGTATTTTTATTCGTAATGTAATAAATGCATACGTGGTTGGTTGTTGTTATGAGAAATTTATTAATCTTAATAATGTAATAAATGTTACAAATTTTAAACAAAGTTCTTTTGTACTTGGTTTTTTAAAAACGTATAGTTTTTAAAAAGAGCACATCTAGAAAGGTGGTGCTTTTGAGCGTAAACTTATGGTAATAAATGTCAAATGTAGCTTTTCTATTATGTATTTTGATTTTTCACTTAAAAGCTTCAAAAATTAAGTTAATTTTTTAATACAGAGTTCACCTCACCATTTGAAGTGTTACAAAATAATGGAAATGGGCTATTTGCATGATCGTGACTAATTGCCAACAATAACTTTCAAAAATTATACAAAATTTACATTTTTTTATAACATACAATTTTGACACTTCATGATAATTTAAAGCATAAGGTGGTCAAAGATGGATAATAGACATTATCTGAGCTATAATTAACATTTTTTTTATTATCACTTCATTTAGCGTACGTTTAGTTGCATGTTCCGTTGATTCTTTCAAGGTTCTCTGATAGCAAAAAGATAAATTTTCTGTATAATAAAATAACCGACGAATATAAACTTGTCGTTATTGATTATTATATTTTTCGTTACAGACTCAGCGTCCGGAAATAGGAATAATGCAAGCCTTAGAATCTCTGAACGACACCCAAGTAAACGAATTCCTATGTGGAAAAGCTCCACTAAATCTAAGCATGCGATTGGGTGACCACATGATGCTAATCCAACTGCAATTAAGCACCGTTTCAGGAACAAAACCACCGATTGTCTCAGGACCACCACCAACTACCAGTCCTCCAAGTCTCCTTCAAGCATCCAGAAACCTCCAGCACACTTTACGAAGACTATCCGCCGACGTCTTCTCGGGCCGTGATAAAGGTTCACTAATTTTATAGATTCTCAAATTTTAAGTATGTACGAGGATAGATTTTGAGATTCTTATACAGGCTGGATTATAAAAAACGCCCCAAGCCATAACTTCATTAAATATAAAGATATTACAATACTTCTTTAATAAAGTTGAACAGTTTATTGTAAGCAATTTTTGGGATAGACACTTTGTCCAAGTACATTCTTTTTTTTTAAGTGACAGAAACATTATTTGTTTTGTCCTCAGTAGGACAATACAAATTTGTGTTTTTTTTAAAGAAAACACCATAGGTTTATTGGCATTTTTGGATGTATGTAGCTATCAATATATGGGCATTATTAATACCATCGTAACCATAGTAATTCCACCAGGGATCACATATCTTGTGGTTTATCTAGAGATTGTAAAAGCCGAAAGAAATATTGAAATTCGAATTAAAATAAAGAACGAAGGATTCAGTTTAACAAAAATGTGATTATTAGGTGATATTTCATTCATCTCTTGTACAACTGTGCACTTTTTGACTACTGCAACAATGGTTAATTTTTTTAAGGTTTAAATTTTAGTTATTAATTATAGGCACTTAAAATAAATGTTTTAGGAAAAACAATTTGATCATCTCTTAGATGGAAAAACAATAAATAGGGTGTTTCATTAAATTTTTTTAAGTTATTGAACTTTTAACAAGCTTCTACAGTCTTAAAGTTTTTACTTTTTTCTTTACAATAGTAAAAATGTTGTAACCTTCCTAGTTTTTGTGTAATAAATTTTACAAAAAAGTATGTTTTCTCAAAAAGAAAACAACTAAGCAAGATCGACCAATAAAAGTTTACCTTAAAAACATTGTAATAAAAAGCTACATCCAAAAATGCAACATGTGGTGTTTCATTTAAAAAAAAACACAAACTTGTATTTGTATGTAACCAATTTTTGAAACACCCTGTATAGTTGAAAATAATTTCAGACGACGCCCTAGATTAACAAATTAAAAAAAATATCATTTGAAGGTCAATATTCGAGTTTATGAACTCGCTGAGACACCTGTTACCTCGGAACTCTTCTATTGCCACACTGCCAACGTGGCAACTGCGTTTTTTGAGGTTCAATATGTCACAAACATTTTATTTCTATGTAAAAAGGAATCTGTGTTACAACAAATGAGCCCTACTGTCCTACTGAGAGATTTGGAGCTGAGAACAGAAGAAATATAGAAAAAAACATTATAAAAACTGACGGAATGGCAATAGAAAAGTCCTGAGATACAGCTTCTCCCAAGTCTGGCGGCGAACTAACGTTGTCAAAAATGACTGAATTTTTACACTAAACATACGTTTACTATTAAAAAAAATATTGTTCATAGGCGTCCTGTTAAATAATATTTCAAAACCACTGTTATTCTTAAAAAAATATAATAAGTAGGTACTCATACATACGATGAAGAATGATGAACAAATTATTAATTTGTTGTTGCACGAAAATAAATTTTAACTATGATATTTCTAGCAATCCTCGTCCTCAAAATTACTAAAGCAAAATGCGTTTTCATCGCTGTTATCGTTGGTTATGATAAGTTCATTAACGATTACATGTAAACGATTTTCCCTACAATATTGGTCTTCAGTTAAGATCACCCGATTGCAAACTCCTTAAAAATGACAGCTAAGAAAATTTTAGAGAAAAAATGCACGCACATGTATTTCATCTTAACCAAGTGGGCACATTCCAAGTGTCTTTTTTGTCACTGTCAGTTTGCCACCAGATATGGAATAAGCTCTAGGTACACGTTCAAGTTTCAAAACTGAACGAATAATTTAAGTTATGGGCATTTGACTATAATAACGAAAATTACTTACGTAACGAGATGTTTCAGCAGTCATCACATTTTCAACTAAAATTCGGATCAAAACAATACGTTGACCACAAATCTAAAATGTGGCAAAATTGACTATCAAACTCAAACGTTTTTATTTAAGTAGTCAATTGTCATTCATTGCCATTATTTTTTGCCATAATCATTTCTCATATCTACAGTTTTCTGTATTTACGTTATTCAATGTTGCCAAATTAGTTTCAAAGCCACCATCTACTTAGATTAGAATATACGAAGTGATCCAAAAAGACTGAGTCTGTTGGTAACAGATTTAAAAGTATTTAAAACCGGATATGGTTTTGCTTGATAAATTCTTGACGTACAACGCCTCAAGATTGTTGAATTGTTGTTAATCAAAAGCACACTCCAATGTAAGCTTTAAAATTTAGAGTCAGGATTGCTAACAGATTTATTTATTGTTGATCACTTTGTATTGTGAATATTAGAGGTATAAGGGAAAATATACCGGGTAACTGTAAATGACTTGATGATTTTTATCCTCAAATTGTAAAATCTTAGTTTGGCAACCTTAACTCTCAAATTCAAACATCAAACTTTTATAAGCAATTGTCACTCAGTTGCAACAGGCAATCGCTGGCTTAGTCGCCACCTGAAACACCCTGATATAGCAAACTATAAATTATAAAAGGATTACCAATAATTCAATGTTGCCAATAGATTTTTTTACCACAAGCATTAATAGTCACCCAGTAGATCTGTTAATTTTATTGCATATCTTGGTAGAATTACATAGAAAATGCCCTCTCGTAAAATAACAAATTCAAAAACGTCTATTTTTTCTGGATTTTCTGGTTTTTAAAGTCGGTTGTGTTTTTTACATTTAGGCCGTCGAGAGAGCGTGTATTCGGGAACTTTCAGCGGTGCTCTGAACCCTGCCTTACAAGACCCGAAAGGGCGTCCTCGTCGGGACGTCGCCACAATAGTCCACATCCTCAATGATCTCCTATGCTCCGTTCCTGAGTTCCGACGGGTGAGTCGGAAAGGATCCGAAGAACCAGTACCTGTCCCCGAGCAAGAAGACGAACCGTCATCGTCGACATGTAGTGAGGACCAAAACCTGCGCACCCGCGGTAAACTTGAACAGCTTCGTCTCGTTATGGGGGAGAGACGTGAGCGCAGACGCCAGCGTAAACAGAAACCGTATTCGTTGCCTCCTAGTGATACCGACACCGTAACTGCATAAAAAAATTCCTTTGTTTTTGTACATAGTTTTTTTTTCCAAGATTTAATTCGAAATTACGCTAAAGCTCTTGTAAGTTATGAAGAAAACGTGGCTGTGGGTTGATCAGAAACGGCTCTTCAACGAAGAGGCGATGACAATTTTACTGTTGACGGTTCTTGTTGTTTGTAATTTAAAAGAGTTTTAATGTAAGCAGCTCTGTAATGTGCATTTGTAAGGTCTTTCTTTAAGTTTAGTGAATTACTATTAGCATAATTGTTTCAATTCTTCATTTGTTGTAATTATTTTTAGACAAGCAATTTAAACGTTAGATGTTAAGATGCATTCGTTTAATCAAAGCGATGTAGGCAGCAGCCTCTACTGATCATTCTGTTTTGTTCCATTTTTGGTATAGAAAAAATATTCATTGGTTATGTTTAATAAAGTATTTTCCAAAATTCCTACGCCTTTTATTAAAAACACCCATTTCAAATGTACACCACCGAATTTTGTGACCCAAGGCAATTCTTTTTTTCTTTTTCAGATACATTTTTTTTAAGTTTTTGTGATGTGCAACCGTATTTTTAATTAATAATTAATTTTTGTAGACACTAATGATTATGTGAAATTTCTTGAATTTCTTCTTTTTTATTATGTTATTAGGAGTGAAAGTGATTGTTTATGTGGTGACGCTGAACGTTCATTTTGCCGAACGGAGTGAGGCAAATGATTCATCTGAGCCACATAAACTCACTTTTACTCCAAATAACATATACTATTTTATCCGCAAACGATTCAGATGGAGAGTAGAGCAACACACTAATAATCAAGTAAATCACCCCAATAATCAGGACGCTTTGTAATAAAATCATAACAAACGTCACGGGTCAGTTTCCGAAGTGTTGAGATTTTCGTAAGTGTTAATTGATTTAACTGGTGAATAACTAGGGTTGTTTATAGTGCAAAATGTCGAATACTGAAACAGCGAAAGAGTTAACATTAGAAATGTCGAAGTAAGTGTCAAGTAAAAGTGAAAAACGCTTAGGCGAAAAAACAGTGTTTTTACTCCATGTCTGAAAGGTAAAACTTTTACTTGTGTCAATTAGTCATAAAAGCGTCATTTTTCTGACGTTTGCGGATAAACAATTTTTTGCTATAGTTATTATAACTTAGGTTGATACTTCGCTCAATTAAGCATTGGAACGAGCAATTTTTTGTTTTGTAATAACGAGATTTTAGATTTTTTGTTCCAACGAACATTTTTTTGACTACGGGTAATTAATTTTTTGTACAATTTTATTTTTCTCTAGTGATTTTTGTGACCATGCTCGATTTTTTCCCAGACGACTAACATTTTGTTTTTTTTGTTTTCAGAACAACTAATAGATGCGATGTTTTTAAAAGAAAGCGATACTTGCTTAATTTTTGTGGCACCTGATATGATTTCTTGTTAATTTTATGTTTCAAGAGCCACTTTTTGCTTAATATTTTGTGACAAAAGACGGTACTTAGCTCAATTTTTGTGACTACAAGTGATTATTTTCCCACAGTCGGTGTGTTTTAATGCTCAATTTTTTTACCTCCCTTGTTTCAATTATTGTGACGGTAAGGCACCAGCAATTTTTAAATCATTTTTTCCTATACGACATTGGCGATAAATTTTTTCTTTGCATAATATACATTTATGTTATTAACAGCATAAAAGTCGCCAAATTTCAACTGTTATATTGGGGTAAAAGCTAGAAGTACACTCCTGGGCGGGGCCTAATTGCGCGCAAACATAACAGGGGAGGCGGACCAGTGGCGTCCTCAAATACTACGATAATAAAGCGAATCTATACGCCACTACTTCCAAAAACTCCCCTCTTTTTTACACGCCCACTTTCTAACATGTACTTTTCTTACTACATACTTAATAATTAGCTTCTTTGATGTTTTTTTCAAACAAAATAATGTAATGTGATAAAATCAGTGCTGCCAAATAGAAAATTCTAGTAAAAATTAACCATTATACTTTGAATTACATGTAATTAAAACATTCATTAAACCGATAGTCACTAGCTTACAAAACTTAAGTGTAACCATTGATAAATTTATAAAATTAGTCTTAGACATAAATAGATTAGAATATTAATTCTACTTAAAATATTCATCTGTAGTATTGCTGGCTACCAGTCCACTGGGGCGGAGGCGCCGTGCTATAGTCATACTGTGCCGCTCTGCCTTGCGCCCCCTGTCCTCCATACTGTCCCGCAGCCGGCGCTCCGCCACTATAATTATAACTCTGTGCCGGACTATAAGCCGGTGGCGCAGCATAATACTGGGGCTGCTGCGGTGGAGGTATATGCATAGGAGGCAAGCCTTGATTATATGTCGCAGTCTGTTGATAATTATAATAACTATGTTGCGTAGCGCTAGTCTCATGCACTGTAGGTGCCGAATCTTGAATTGGCACCGTAATCAAATTAGTCCGAACTCCAGAACTTTGTATAGAAGTTGGGCGTTGTCTCACATTTGAAGATATTGAAATGTTCGATCTAGGATCGTTCGTTTTAGCGCGGACAGACACTCTTTCTGGCTCAACAGGAACTTCCATTGGTTGGATGTTATTAGAAACGTGCCGGTGGTTGATGTGGGCTTGAAGATCACGGTGTGATAAATAAGTACGGCGGCAACCGGAGGAACCATAACGAGTCCCTCCATGAGTACACATGAAAACTGTCCCTAAACCAGTTTGTTCCACTCTTGAAACTTTCTCCAAACAGCGCGGACATTGCTTCTGCTCTTGTTTACCACAGGACAAGCAGAACACATGCTTGCACGGAATCTATAAAAGGAAAAGTAATAATGAGTGCCTTAAAAAGTCCATCAGTGGGGGATCCAAGTCCCTTTTTTATTTTTATGTAAATCTTTGACGACTCAATTGTCAGTGATATTTAACGATTTTCGAAACAAACCTCATATTATATCAGAAACTACAAATGTACCACTTTGGTGTGAAAGTGATATACAAGCTGTCTCACCTAACTACCTAACTTCCGGATCTATACTCCTTAAAATATAACTTGATTAATGCCCTGTCCTTATATTGTCAATTAACAGAAATATTACACCCGAAAGTCTTACGTGGGACACCTGTATAGTGCTGCAACGGTAGTATCTATTAGCAAAGGATGTAAATAATTATATTACAAGAAAAACAAATTAAGAATGCTGTGTTGCATAAACATAATATGGCATATAATTAAAAATATCTACCTAATAAAACTTACATAAGTTTCAAATTTTATTTTTATGAAAATACTTTGATGTTTACAAATGTTGTACTCGGATCATAATTTATGCGAATTCTCAATTCTAGAAGATGCACTTTTACAACCCTTTCCTCAAATGCGATAATTATGTATTCTCGTAAAATTTTTGGTAGCAATTAAAGCATGTTTAACCATCTCTAATTTAATCTAGTGGTCTTTTTACTTTCTAGACATATTTCCAAGAATTTTAGTGTACAGTTGGAGACAAAATACTTTGGTCGTCACTTTCCTGACACTTCAATGTAATTCAAGCTTTAACGTCAAAATGAATGATAATTTTAAATTAATGACAACTATTATATTTTCCTATCAAAAACTTGTCAACTATGATTGACAGTAGCTAAAAATAAGGTTAACAGTCCTAAAGCATGCTTTACAATTTAATGCCACTCAAGTGACATTGACGACCAAAGTATTTTGTCTCCAACTGTACGGAACTTATCTTCGGTTTTGTGTTTCCTTCTGACATTTAATGACATATTTATCAAAATAAATCAAAAACCGGAACTACCAACTTTTTATTAAAGTTGGCAAGAATGATTTTATTAGTGTTACCAACATAAAGACTGCTTTACAATTCTGTTTAAAAACAACTATTTTAGCACTTTTTGGGTGTTTTACAACAAAATTTGTTCAAAATGAAAAGTTTACCATTCGTCCGTAGATTAAAATGGGCTTCAAACACTTATCACAGCAATGAATCATGGGATTGAGCACTTTTTCCCCAATCAAATTCACTTTGTGTGACCAATCTAGCCGCAACATTGGTTCTGGTGGCCCTCTGTTAATTGTTGTAAAAGTGGGTGCTTCGAGTTGCGAAATGTCAGCTTCCAAATCAACTAAAACATTCAATTGTTATTCAAGGCTGACTTTAATTCAATTATACATACTTTTAGGTGCCACATTTTCATTAGATTCACTTTCGGTTTGTTGTGCCTCTTCAGAAGATTCTTGAAGTTGAGAATTATCTATTTCTTCATCGCTTTCTATTACTTTGATGGCTTTTTTACCACGACCGCGACCTCTACCTCTTCCACGACCTCTGCCTCTTCCTCCACGACCCCGGCCGCGGCCCCTCTTAGGGGTCCCATCATCCATCTACGAACACAAAGTTATTGCGCTTAATACAACACTAAACTTTCAAAAATAACCAATAAAAAAATATACTGTACCTTTTTTTATTTATTTAATCGTTGACGTAAGAGCGTCCATAATTTTGAGGTTAAGACCTTGTCATATAAAAAAGGATGCCAATCCACTAGGTGAATCATTGAAAATGCAATTAAGCACAAAATACATTTTTGTAATCGATAAAATCAGTATCTAAAAAATTAAAAGTATTAAAATAACCAGGTCTTGACAATCCAAACGAAAATTTTATTTTAATTTTATTAAATATTTTAAAATATGTTCTAGGGGAATGTTTTGTTAGTATTCTACCCAACCTGACTTGTTTTCAGAAAAGCGCGCGATTGAGGTTATGTTGTAAAACTTGAAAAGGGAAGATTATTATTATTCCAAATCCAACTATAAAATGGAAGATATAAACGAAGTGGATATAGAGGAGATCGAGACTGAAAAACAGCCAGTTACTGAAATGACTGAAACAGTAGAACACAACAACTCAACAACAACTCCTGAAAAGCCAAAACTGGTTAAACTTCCTTTGACTCGAATTAAACATATAATGAAAATGGATCCAGATTGCAATTTAATAAGCCAAGATGCGTTATTTCTCGTGACTAAATCAACGGTAATTAAAAAAAAAACAGTTTTAGTCTCACTTCATAGCATAAGTTTTAGGAAATGTTTCTAGAACACCTTGCTAAAGAATCTTGCAAATTCATGGGTATGGGGAAAAGGAAAACTGTACAAAAACGAGATGTCGATGCGGCAATAGATAATATACCTAGTCTTTGTTTCCTTGATGGTGCCTTAGAATAATATTTTTGAATAAGTAATAAACGCATTTTAATTAACAATATTTTACAGAAGCGACATACATGCAAATTTTTGGGATATCTTTTCCTATTTTCGTGTTGGTACCTTCGCAATTACGCTTTGAAAAAAGATGGATGCAGTTTCCATGTACTCTTATTGATGAGACTTGAACTGGTATATCAAAATTTTTGCATTTCACACACCCCTCCAATACCCGCTCTGGTATTCCCCCGAATTCCTCATGTTTAAAGAGTACAACGTGTGTGTTATCTGCATTGGTGATACAGATTGTGCAGAGTATAAATACAAGAGATTTCCACATATCGACACCAAAAAATACTGTTAAGAGTAAAAAAGCACTTCTATGGGAACCAATTGGTGTAAACATAGATAGAATTAAGGTACGTATGTAGTAGGATCCTCTTCTCAGACAGACCTGCTGCCATCACATATTTTTGACACTGACAGCTTTTTAACCTTGAAAATTGCTTGTCAAACCTTAAAAAATTACAAAACTTTAAATAGGTATTTATTATTTAATGTCAACATTATATGTTAGCGATGCTCATGAGCATTATGAATGACAATAACCTCTGACAACCACTAATTTCAAGGCCAAAAAGCCTCTGTTTATAACATAATCTAGTACAGCCGGTGATTCTGAAGATGTCATGCCAATAAACGGAGCCCGGCATTTGGGATCACTACCTACCCACTCCGACCGCAACCATCCTTAGCTATAAATCACCGTAAACTTGAGGACACCACTTTTACCTTGAATATCGTCCAATTGCATAAAATTTGATTTGATTATGTTTTTAGTAAGAAATCACTTTGTTTACGAACATCATAGCCGATGAAACTAATTCTAATGAATGTCATGTCATTTAATTCGTATTATGAACTAAATTTAACCTCGAATTAAAATTTGATTGCCCCTAAAAACTGATGTGATCATTGAATTTGTAAACCTTTTTGTTAGAAATTAAAGTCTTTTATGCCACGACCGATGTGCGTTTAATAATTTTACCTCTTTTAGTATTTCATTTTAATGATTATAAATAATAAACATTTTATTTACATTTACAAAAGAATTGTATACGAAATTTATATGTATTACTAATATTGGGAATATTCGCGCAAAAATTTCGTAAGCATCACGAACGTTATTAAGGACTTACCGATCTCACACAATAATTGGAGTCGTCGCTTCACTCTTCCCTCTTAATATACTATTGATTTGTTTAGATTTTTTTATCGTTTTAGAATTTGAAAAAGTTAAGTTTCTTACAGTCTGAATTAATTTATATACGCAAGTTAAACAACTCATCTAAAATGCATTCTTATTCTTACGCACAATATTCATCTCTTGTTATTAAGTTGGTCATAATAATGTGTTTTTTGGTATACAATTTTTTTGTAAATTAGACTTAGTTTCATCGGCTATGGTTTTCGTAAACAAACTGATTTCTTATTAAAAACATAATCAAATCAAATTTTACACAATTGTACGATGTTCAAATTAAAAAGTAAAATTCTTTCGTGTCCTCTAGTTTACGGTGATTTATGGCTAAGTATGGTTGCGGTCGGGGTGGGTAGGCTGGGCTCCGTTCATTGGCATGACATCTTCAGAATCACCGGCTGTACCTTAAATAAGACCGCCAATAGTTCTACTAAAAGATCATCATTAACATACTGTTTCTGTACACTTACAAGATATTCGATTGTTTATTCATTATTTAGAAGTTTTCATATAAAACATACATCTCCAAAACGCATTCTGCACTTCTGGTATTACCCTGAATTATGTATTTTCAAAGAAAACAACGTGTGTGTGCAAAAGCACAGAGAATAAATACAAAAGATTTACACTTTAACATTGCTAGGAATAAAACACTTCTGTGTGAATAAATTGTTGTAAACATGATTTATTTTTTAAGCGCATTGATTTTATAAATTGATAGCACATACTCATAATAGCGAAATAAAATACACAACTTATGCATCTAGTGACAAAATCACTTATTTGCCTTTTTGCTCCTACGCTTCTGTCCTTGTTGCGTACAATCCGTTTGTCCATACAAAGTATTAAGTAAGTTTTCGAGATCGGGTGGTTTCTCATTTCGTTGAGATCCACTGTGTCTACGAGGTTGACTATTTTGTTTACCTAAAGCGATGCGATATTGTACTTGATGAGAGTCTGGTCTTAGGTGTTTGAGACTGTCTTTTTGACAACCGGCCCATTCCGTTATATCATACACATTTCCTTCCATACAAGCGTAGTAATGCCACAAAAAGCCGAAACAGCGAGCTTCGGCCCATATATCACCTTCTCGAGCCGCGTGATGAATTTTACAAGAAAAACAGTTTCTTGCTGCGTAACAAGGTCTATCTACTTTAATTCTTTTGTGACGTAAACCGCAAGCACTGCACCGAATTGTATTAGCGGCTGCTTCAACCTTTTGCTGTAGTTGGGCCAAAAGTTCAGTCAGCTCGCTCCAGGCCTGCTCCACTTGCACAGACTCGACAACACCTAAACAAATTTAAACAGTTAGAAAAAGTAAGGCGAGAGGCAAAAAATATTAATAAACGATGAGCTTCGGCCGACAATGATAATATTATTATCGTTATTCCTATTTCGATGTTTTAGGTAACAAACTATGAAAAGTGTTTTAAGCATAAAATGTACCTAATTGAAGAAAATAACACAGGCCGGTCATATGAAAAATTTTTGAGACGAGTTTTAATTTTAAAAGCTGTTTCTTTTTATTTCATATGTCCTGAATTCAGATGTAGGTATCCAAGCTTTCTTCTTATCACATCTAATTTTTCTACAAAGTTAAAAACACGTTTATTATAAATTTTTGAAGGTCACAGTTAAAATGTATTTTTTAAAACATTTTTAAGGAAAATATCAATTTCAAATATTTATATTACGCTTATTCCGAATGATATGTTTTGCGTTTATCCAAAGAATTATGCCTGAGAGTATTTTTTTATGGATTGATTTCTACACTTATTGAAGATAGTTTCAAAATGAACATTATCCAAACATAGAACACATACCAATAATAACGCGAATATAAATTTTAATACCGCATTAATACAGGTGCGCCAGAACTCGCGTCCCAGAGAAAAATGTCATATGGTAAGATGCCAGGAACATGGAAAAAATATTAAAAAAAAAATATCTATAAAAATTTCGAAGTTATAAGAGTTTAAATTTTGCACTTTGATCCTATTTCTGTTGGAAAAATAATTTTCCAAGTTTTTTTTGTTACAAGCTATTAGAAGAGGAAACAAGGAAGCTGTATCCTTAATTCTATTTAATTTTTTCCATGTTCCTGGTATCTTATCTTGCTTGAAATTTTTATATGGGACGCAAGCTCTGACACACCCTGTATAAACACTTCAATCTCAATCAATATAAATATTATAAGTCGTACCACAGCCAACGCCACTTGTGACACTTTTCATAATGTTTTTTCTGTATGAAAGAGTAGAGCTTCTTGGCTTAAAATTTGTCAGTAAGATTCAGTTGTAACACAATTTCTTCTACATAGAAATCAAATGGTTTTGACCTATTTCACCTCAAAAAACGCATTTGCGAAGTTGTCATGAGACCAACGAAATTTAACGACTTATTTTAGTACACTGGAATTGGCTATGGGTGTTGTTGCTGTTGTGATTCACATATTTCGCAAAACGTGGCAAAACTCAAGGAACGAGAGCTAAAACTGGATGGTTTGATTTAATTTTATGAAATAAGTGAAAAAATACCGCCATATAGATTTTTTTTTGAAAACCTGATTTCATACAATAAAACGAGTAGTGGATTTGTAATCAGCGCCACCGAATTAATAAAAAAATGACAACAACATTTTAAACCCCAAAAATCATGTTGGCCTACAAAATATTACAATTGAGACATTATAGAGAAATTTTCTAGCAGTTCATGTTTAAATTAAATTTCTCGTTCGCAGCTCCTATCAATTTTTAATGACAAAGACAAAATTGTTATTATGAAATTTTTAGAGACTCGTGCCATCACCAATCCTCTAATTTTTATGGCATCTAACATGAAATTTTTCACTACTTTTCGCGCTGGATTAAAATATGAAAATTTTGATTACCTTTATCGTACGCGGCCCTTCTTTCCGGTTCCCCAATCATATCAAAAGCGTGAACTAAAATTTTAAAGGCTTCTTCGGCTCCCGGTTGTTGGTTTTTATCCGGATGGACCAAAAAAGCTTGTCTTTTATAGTACCTCTTAATATCATCATCAGTACAAGTTGGAGTAACTCCCAATATACTATAAGGGTCTTTTCCTTTACACGCTAAAAGTCTTTTCATTGCTTCTTCACCAGTCGTTGGCATATTAATATTATTCTGTAATCCGCTATGAATAAAACTGCGATTATTGTCTTTCGTTGGTTTTTCAGGTTTCTTAAACTTTTCCCAAATCCACGATAGAATTCGAATACGTTTTGCGATGGTCACTACCGTATCCAAAAAGAGACTCCAGTGAACACACAACCAAAGCCAAAAATTCGAAGCCCTGTTAGATTAATATTATTTTTTTGCTTAAAACTTTGGAGTTTGTCTTACATGTCACGACTGATGTGTACACTCAGGCTACAAATATCGGAGATAAGATGAATGAGCCAGAAAAAGAATACGGTCAAGATCTTCCACCATCCTTTCAAGTAATGTTTCAATTTTTGACCAGCTATTCCTGAAAACAAAAATTTTTTTTTAAAAAACAATCCAAATGAAATTTTAATTTAAAACAGAAGCCATAATCTAAACCTATGTAAAAATTGTTATGCATGGGCTAAAAAACAATTAAAATATTGTAAAAAAAACAATAGTATGGTTGAAAACCCATAAACTGTACCAACAATAAAACACTTTCCGCTCCGACGATTGCAATTTACAACTTACCGAAAAACTGATTTTCTCTCTTGCGGGTCCGCTGGTTTCTTTTCCCTGGAGGCCTCTCATTGCTACCAAACGTTTCCAAATTTTTTGTTCTGTTATTAAACTTGCTTGTTTTTTTCAGACCATTTTTGCTAACATATAACGTCTCGTTTTTATTAGAGAATGGTTCATTTTCAGGCGAATCACCAGTATTTTTGGTAACTTTTCGAAAATTCGACTTTTGCGTCAAATTTTTAGTACTGTTGGTAACATCATCATTCTTCTTCTTCTTACCATCATCAACCTTAATATTGTTTATCGGTTCATTGATGTTATCAAGCGACGCCCATTTGCGATTCAACTGCGTGCTTCTGTTACGCTTATCCTTCTCGCTGTTAGTTTTCATAAATTGGGCAGTTTTCTCAGAAATGGGAATATCCTTAATATCCGCATTTGTATTGCTTCTGTTCAAAGAACAGTTGACTTTTTGCGCTTTCTCGATTTTGCCGTTCTTTTTGTTATTCTCCTTTTTCTGTTTGGTTTCTTTAGTGTCAGTTTTGGCCGGTTTGGCTGTATTCGGGGGCACTGCTTTAGTTAAAACATCGGAGTAGCTAGGACGCATTGGTTTCACTTCTGCCACCATCCTTGGCTTGCGATTATTCCGACTAAAACTAAACTGTTTCTCTTCAAGAGGTTGTTCTAGTATTAAATTTTGTTCATTTTCCTTTTCCGACATTTGTTCAAAGACTCCAACATTTGTTTTAAAGGGTTCCACATTGCCAAACGGGGAGTAAGTTCCTGTAGTATTCGGCACCCAATTTCCCACCAAATTCTCGATTAAATGAGCATGGTTGCTGGTCTGGGGCAACGGCTCATGTAAACGCTCTGGTTGATGCAAATTCGAGTTTAAAATAAACTCATTTCTGAAAACCCCAGCATCGGCATTACCATTCTGCATTGGCTCGTACATATACTTCAAATTAATCGTGTCCAAATTTTTATTGTATTCATTCATGTCGAACGGATGGGGCTGTTGCATGTAATTGTAAGGAGTTGTAAACTGTGGCATAGGTACATAACCCATTGGCATGTCTGACGCAGGGTTGTACGCGTAATTGTTTGCAAAAGGTGGTTGATTCCAGTTCAAAGGCTCGCTTGGAGGCGGCGTAAAACCCAACGGAGCATACTGACCATCTGCATTTTGCATTTCTGCAGTCATGTTCCCTATGATTTTTTCCACCGCTTCATTTGAACAGTTCCTCTCCTTTTCACTCATTTTGCACAATGTTTAACAAAACAACGAGGAATTTTACAAGTGTACAGCTATTTTTGTAACATTTTGGCACATAAACATATTATTCAACTCTGTCACTTTTGACGTACTGTCAAAACATCATCAAAATGGCAATTGCGCGATCGATATAATAGGAAGCTGAATGATCGACTTGGAAAAATTTGAATTCAAATAAAAAATAGTGTTTGTTCATTTGAAAACTGGTAAAATTGGCTTAAATATTATTATAAGTACTTGACCAAAATATGTAAATGCGTCTAAATTAAAATAAAGTCAATGCTTTTCTGAAAATTTCATGAGCGTATGTCCTGAATAGTAAATACTAATTAAAACAATTTTTTGCTCAAGTAAACTAAAAATCAACATTGACATCATTATTCAGCTTACTTTTGTAAAGTTTATATTTTTGATTCTGTTTTTTTTTTAGATTTTAATTTTGTTGTTATTGCAGGGAGCAAATTACATAGATAGGAGTGTCCTATAGCTACTGGTAGATGTCGCAGCGTGCCCGATTTACACGGCCAACTCATTTCAAAGTTGCGATTAATTTAAAGCGCTCTTTTAGATTGAAGCTTGCAGTTTTGTGTTTGGATGCTAATTTAAACACCTGGAGTAAATTAGGCATTTTGTGTCGCTAGCGCTTTCAATTAGTTTAATTAGTTTAAATGTTATCACTGGGTGATCTAAATTAGTAAATTGTACAATTGCGATGAGCATTTGCAGTTGTGGGTGGTCTAACTCAAAATGTTATATCTTGAGCACACTCTTGCGTGGAACATGTGTATATAAACCGCGGCGTCTTTTGACAAATGCTCGGTTAACACCAAATGTTGTGTGTACAATTTTCCAACGCATAATTAGACAAGGTATAAAAAATTGTTGCGGAACCCTCTGAGACGAATGCGGCGCCAAAAAGTGGCGCCGGTCTGTGTTCACCCTCTCAGTTTATTTTTATAAAATTCTGACTAATTTCTGCATAGTCCTACTGTTATGGGAAATTACTATTCATAGACAGGGCCGGAGTAAGTTATTGCACATCAGTCATGTGTTATAGTAGTGGAAACTTTGAATAATGGATGAATTATGCAATCTAGTCTATAGCGTATGCTAATAATGGAGAGGTTCTTGATTAATTGCATTTTGATTTTCAGATTATCGGCCGTTTGCTATTCATATTGGGCCATAGTGCGGCCCGGACCCAATGAATGGAAACTTGTTACTTAATTTACATAAACATCGATGCAAAATTTGTTTGCATATTAGTTGGGGATTATACGTCTCCTACGTGAAACCAAATGAATTTTGAAGTATTCCGTATTTATTGTAGAATTATGTAGGTACTTCCTATTTATTGTTAATTACTTTCACATTTAAAAATCTGCTTGTAAAAATGTTACTATTTATTCTTTTTTTTATATACAGGGTGTATCAGAAATACGTTAATTTTAACACGTGAAAGCACTTACCAACTAAAATAACTTTTCTATACAACAATTTGCAAAATTCTTATTAATTGTTTTTATTGTTTTCCTCCATTATTTTGTGTAAACAAGCCGCTCAATGTTAATAAATAATCACAACAATGCAGTTATTCTAATGTAGTTCCGTTTCTATCACAACGAAAATACTTCGGAATTTTTAATTTGATATGTACCTTTTCTAATTTTTAAATCAAATTTCAAAGCTTTTATTAAAAAAATACAAATGGTAAAAATGTATTATTATCGAGATGTGTTATATAGGGTGCGCCAGAACTCGCACCCCAGAGAAAAATGCCATATAATATAAAATGTATATAATATATATAAATGTTAAAAAAAATTATCTATAAAAATTTCGAAGTTATGAGGGTTTAAATTTTGCACTTTGACTCTATTTATTTCTGTTGGAAAAGTAATTTTCTAAGTTTTTTTACTGTATCCTAAATTCTGGCTCTGTTCAATGTTATTTGTGGGGTTTATTGGCAAATTTTTTGTACCTTTACTAAATAATTGTTAAAAAACATATACAAGATTATCAGTATCATTAAATAGACATAAAAAAATGTCAAATGTAAAAAAATAAATGTCAAAATTTTTTGACAGTTGGAATTTTTTAAACATTTTTTTCATGTTCCTGGTATGTACATTTTACTTGAAATTTTTCTCTGGGGCGCGAGTTCTGGCGCCCCTGTATGTTAAAATTAACACACGTATTTGTGATATACCCTGTATTTACATTTTTTAGTTTTCAGAAAAATTAAAGTTGTAAGTAGGTATACAGTTTTAGCGTAATAAGAGATCTTAAGTTTTTCATCATTTTTTTATTACAAAAGCCTGTTTCAGTTTCAATATCGGAGTTTTAAAATCAAAATCTTAAGTCAGGTATTCGTAAATTCTGACCAAAAATTGGACACTTCAATGACATGAAACGTCAGTAATGTCATTCATGATCAATGACAGTTCTAGTAGTTTGCTATTATAGGTGGGTAATTTAAAGAAACTGGACAAGAAGGCATTATAAAAAGATAAATTCCAAATACTAAAGCTTTCAGCCTACAAATACTACTAAATTCAGAAATTATTATAAAAAATTATGTCAAAACAATGACAGCACTGACAAAAACTATACATCAGAGTATTTTATAGACTCGTAAGATACGTTGCTATTGGCGACATACTTTATAGATGAAAAAAAGAATTTTTTTCAACACTAATAGTGCATACTGTTTCTATGCTGCATTTAAGTTTACCTCTTATGTTGCCGTTGGAATACGCTTCAACTATAAAGTACTTCGTCAATAGCAACGTATTTTTTATGAGCCTATAAAATTCGCTGATGCATACAGGGTGTTTGCGGATTGCGAGCAAATATTTTAACCACTAAAATAATTCGTTATGAAAAGTCGAATTGAATTTTTTTTTTGGATTTACCCCCATGATTTTTACGAGCCGTTCAGTGTGTGTTTGATGGAAGTAAAAATATCAATGAAAATAATTCACTTTGAATGTTGACCGTAAAAGTTTTTTTGCAGAAAAAAGGTTTAAGTTTGTGTAAAAAAATATCTGTTGTTTACACGCGTCTGCTTAGTCAATTGTAATCGCTCTTTCGGGTGAATTGTGAAATGAAATTGTAAATCAATTCATTATGGCCAACTATGAGTACTCAAACGCCACATTACGTGTACGGGCATTACTTCCAAGAGGGATTTTCACTAAATGTTTGGGCAGAGATCATTGAAAATCTCCTTATTGGACCCCACATTTTTCCACAACTAGTGCCGCTTATTTGGATTTTTTGGAAAAAGTGTTGGTCGATCTGGTGGAGGTTGTGCTCTTGGCAACACGAAGAGACAAGTGGTATTTACAAAATGGAGCTCCACCACATTATGCCAGAGTCGTCATCAATTAGTTGAACGACCATTCTCCTGAAAGATGGATTGGTCGCTAAGGTTCAACTGCATGACCACCGCAGCCACCAGATTTAAATCCGTATGATTTTTTTGTATGGTCATATCAAACAGTTAGTGTACGCAGCTCAAATTAATACCCTCGGGCTGTGTGTGTAAACGCAAGCTTCCCTAACCCAAAGGGTGCATTGCTAAGGAAAGACCACATTTAAAGCAATTTTTTATAATAGCAAGTGTTGACCCACTATCACTGACACTGATCTATCTTAATGTAGCGATATTTTTTTTTTTGTCTTTACGCTGTTTACATCCTGCAATTTTTCTTTTATGAATAAATGTAAACGTATTAAGACGGGTTTTCAGACTAAATTTATTTTTAATTTTAACTCAGAAATTACGTGTTTTTGGCAAAAGTTAGAAATAGAGAAGTTGTTTCTTTTGACGAGTTTTCTTAGTGGTTAAAATATTTGCTCGCAATCCGCAAACACCCTGTATATTTTGTCAATTTTGACATACTTCTTTATAATAATTTAGTAAAATTTCTGATTCAAAAATCTCAGCCTATTAAATTCTTGCTCTCTCCGGTCACTTGAACTAAAACTACGACCTCGATTTTTAAACTCTATAAAACTCTAGTTGTCTTAATAGCTTTTAAAACAGCGGGTTTTCTAGCCGCACACACAATCCATCCCTTTCCAAAAACTTTTAAATTTTTGCTTTCTTTTTACATCGCGTTTTCACTTAAGTATCCTTTTTCACCTGGGACCGTTTATTATACATTTATCACCGTTTTATTTTCTAAGAGACACAATTTAGAAATCTGTAACTGTCACATTCACTGCCATTGCTTCAACTTAATAAGACTTGGTTTATAAAGCAATTGGGTGGTTGCACATATTTTTTTATTGCATATTTTGAATCTTTATTAAAAAAATATTGACCCACGTTGTTGCTTTTTTTTGAAATCTTAATTTTAGTACAAAAAAATATATCAAAAACTCGTAAAATGAAATAAATTTTAAACGCGCGCGTTTTATTTGCTGTGAGGTAATAATCCGGCTTTTGCGCTCATTGGCTGTTTGAATGTCGGATTGCAGATCTGTTTATGGTTATATTTTTTTTAATTAATTAAATAATAAATAATTCATTTTTAATTTTTTTTTAATATCTGTGTTCTATGTATACAATAATAATTATGATGCCAAAAATGAGTACATTTAAACGTAGTGATTAAACACACGCCACATTATTTCACTTGCCATTGTCAGTTGTCACTGCACTGTTGTCACTGCTTTTGGAATTGTTACATAGTAAAGCGGGAATTTATCTTGGGTTTAAATTCTACCCCAAATTTAATAATCAAAATTATAGTATTTCAAACTCTTCCAAGTTAATTTTACTGACGGATCGCTCCTTTGTAAGGTAATTTCTAACGAATACGTATAAAAGTAAAAAAACACAAAAACTCCGATGGATGCAACGACCCTATTGCTTTATAAATGCCATTGTTTTTAATTTAACACGACTTGACAAAATTCATTGTTACTCTTTGCTAAGCTGTAACTTTTTAACGAATAAAGATAGAAAAAAAATATATTTGAACTTTTTTCAGCATGACAGCTTCTATTACTGGTTTTGGTATATATTCTTATTAATATTACAAATAATGTGTGTTTTAACGTTTCTCATTATACCTCATGTGAATAATAAAAAA